AAATTGTAACCCTTGCACATAGCCAGTGGGAATGTAAAATGATCTAAGCATTATAGAAAATAGCATGACAGTTACTTGAAAGTTAAATCTAGAATTGCTATATGATTCAGTAACCCCACTTCTGGGTTTATACCTAAAAGAAATTAAAGCGGGACATGAACAGATATTTGCACACCCTTTTACAATAGTCAAGAATGGAAACAAGCTGAATATCCATCAGCACATGGATAAGGAAGTATTCAGCCATTTTATTCAAAATAGAGTGATGGGGCTGGAGAGATGGCTCAATGGTTAAGAGCACTGACTGCTCTTGCAGAGGACCTGGGTTCAATTCCCAGCACCCACATGGTGGCTAAGAACCATCCTTAACTCCAGTTCCAGGGGATCTGGTGTCGTCTTCTGACCTCCAAGGGCACTGCATGACACAAATGTACTTAAATAAACCTGCAGACATAACACTCATACACATATATTTTTTAAAAGGAATGAAATTCTCGGACATGCTGCAAACGTTGGACCTTGAAAACTTTACTAAGTGAAATAATCCAGACAAAGGCAAATATTTTATGATTTTTTTATATAAAGAGCCTATAATAGGGAAGAACCTATAATAGGGCCAATGAGATGGCTCAGCTGGTAAAGGCACTTGGCACTAAGCCTGATGACCTGAGTTCTATCCCTGAGACCCACAATGGAAAGAGAGAACTGACCCCTACAAGTTGTCCTCAGATCTCTACACTTATGTCCTGGCACACATGCACACACAAATAAAAATGTAACAAAATTTCTGCCAAAAGCAGAATCAACAAGAAACTGGGAGAAGGAAGAATGAAGAGTTAACGCTTAATAGATCCAGGGTTTCAGTGTGGAATGGTACAGAAGGACAGTTGTGAGTCTGGGTGTGGTGTGGCACACACCCAGAATCCCAGCAAGAGAAGAGGATTGGACAATGAGTTGGAGGCCAGTCTGAACCATAGAGTGAACCCTGTCTCACAGGTGAGGGGATGGGAGGCAGCAAGATGACTCAGTGGGTAAAAGCACTAACAACCTGACAACAAACCTAACAACCTGAGTTTGATCCCTGGAACCTACCGTGGAAGGAGAGAACTGACTCCAAAAGTTGTCCTCTGACCTCATATGTGTACACACATACACAGGCACACATAGACATTGCACATAATAACAATAATAATAACAATAATAATAAAATTTTAAAATTAAAAAATGGACAGGCTGAGGAAATGGCTCAGTGGATAAAGGTGCTTGCTGCCAGGACTGATGACCTGAGTTCAGTTTCCAGAACTCACATGGTAGGAGGAGAGAACCAACTTCCACAAGTTGTCCTCTGATCTCCACATGTGCATGGTGGCATGCATGCCCACAAAAAAGACAGTAGTGATGGTTGTACAATATGATAAAGTACTTAATGCTACTGAATTACATACTTAAAATTGTTGTTAAATGATACACTTAATATCTATTTTATAAAAAATTGTACCATATTGCTAATCAAAATTTTTTTTTACTTTGTGTGTATGCATATAAATATATAGTGTATGGTGTATATACACGTGTGGGGGTGATGCATACCTGTGCACACAAGTGGAGACCATAAGAGGATGCCAGGTGGCTTCTTCTATCACTCTTAACCTTAGTTCTTTGAGGCAGGGTCTCTCACTGAACCTGGAGCTTGTAACAATAATAATAAAATTTTAAAATTAAAAAATGGACAGGCTGAGGAAATGGCTCAGTGGATAAAGGTGCTTGCTGCCAGGACTGATGACCTGAGTTCAGTTTCCAGAACTCACATGGTAGGAGGAGAGAACCAACTTCCACAAGTTGTCCTCTGATCTCCACATGTGCATGGTGGCATGCATGCCCACAAAAAAGACAGTAGTGATGGTTGTACAATATGATAAAGTACTTAATGCTACTGAATTACATACTTAAAATTGTTGTTAAATGATACACTTAATATCTATTTTATAAAAAATTGTACCATATTGCTAATCAAAATTTTTTTTACTTTGTGTGTATGCATATAAATATATAGTGTATGGTGTATATACACGTGTGGGGGTGATGCATACCTGTGCACACAAGTGGAGACCATAAGAGGATGCCAGGTGGCTTCTTCTATCACTCTTAACCTTAGTTCTTTGAGGCAGGGTCTCTCACTGAACCTGGAGCTTGGTTTTTTTTGGTTTTTGTTTTGTTTTGTTTTTCTGCTAGGCTAGAAGCCAGCCAGCCCCAGTGATCACCTATCTCTGTCCCATTCAGCTGGAGATAACCTGTTCTGATCCTTATATTTGCACAGCAAGTGCTAAACCATGTCTCCAGCCCCTCAGTCAAAATTTTCATCCTAACAAGAAGAAAACTTAAAGCATTTAAAAAAGGATAAAGTCAGCCAGGCGTGGTGGCACATGCCTTTAATCCCAGCACTCGGGAGGCAAAGGCAGATGGAACTCTTATGAGATCGAAGCCAGCCTGGTCTTTATGGTAAGTGTTCCAGACCAGCTGGGGCTACAGGGAAACCCTGTCTCAAAACAACAACAAAAAGGATAGAACATCCATTTGTTTTTCAAAACTCCTGAGTCACTGAGTTAAACTTACTAATTGAAGGAGAATTACTAAAGTTTCATTCTCTTCCCTTTGCCTCCTCACCAAACTCAGGCCTTGGTGCTAGGCAAATATTCTACCACTGAGCTACAGCCCAGCTTAGTCCTTTTTTTAAAAAAAAATATTTATTTACTTATTTAGTCTTTTTGAGACAGGGTCTCCCTATAGCCCCAGCTGTCCTGGAACTCACTATGTAGACCAGGCTGGCCTCGAACTCACAGAGATCCACCTGCCCCTGCCTCCCAAGTGCTGGGATTAAAGGCGTGCGTCACCACACCCAGCTAAAAAATATTTAATTTTTAAAAATATTTTGCCTGCATATATGTAAGTGCACCTGTGTCATGCAGTGCCTCCAGAGGTCAGAAGAGGGCATTGGATCCTCTGGATCTTGAGTTAAGGCCAGTTGTTAGCCACCATGTGGGTGCTGGGAATCAAACTTGGGTCTCCTGCTGGAGCATTCAGTACTCTTAACTGCTGAGCCATTTCTCCAGCCCCTTAGATCTTAAGTATACTGAAGAACAATACAGAACATTGAGTTCATCATCATCCTGAATTAAAGTTGAATATCTGTTATACAAAAAGTTTTAGGCTCTGTGGTATACCAGATATACATGGGGTATTTTGTCTTCAGATATTTTGAACTAGAGCACATTTGGCTTTCTTCTTCTTCTTCTTCTTCTTCTTCTTCTTCTTCTTCTTCTTCTTCACTTTCTCCACAATATTTACAACATAAATTTAAAAATTTTCTAAACATATTGTCAAAATCTGATTCTCAAGCACTCAGAATTAAATAGTA